CAAATAATAAATCTGCTGGAAGAGAAAATAGGTAGAACTCATGAAGACACAGGTGTAGGCAAAGATTTCATGAACAAAACCCCGGCTGCACAGGAAATACTACAAAAAACCAACAACTGGGATCTCACCTTGTTAAAAAATTTTTGCACAATGAGAGAAATTACCAACAGAGTGAAAAGACAATCCATAGAATGAGAAAAAAATTAAACCACTTGTCCCTAAAACAAAGAACTTATATCTAGAATATATAAAGAACTGAAAAAAATCAGACCTCCCTCAAATGTAAAGACCCAATCCAAAAGTGGGCATCTCAGATGAAGTAGAAATGGCAAATAAATATATGAAAAAATGTGCAACACCACTGGTCACTGCAGGGATGCAAATTAAAACAATACTGAGATTCCATCTTGTACGAGAAAGAGTGGCTACCACCAAGAAATCAACCAATAACAAATGCTGGTGGGGCTGTCAGGAAAAAAGAACCCTTCTCCATTGTTGGTGGGAGTGTAGACTGTTGCAGCCCCTGTGGAAATCAGTGTGGAGATTCCTCAAAAACTAGAATTAGAGGTCCCTTTTGACCCTGCTATTCCCCTTTTGGGTATCTTCCTGGAAGAATTAAAAACATCATATCACAGCAATATATGCTCACCCATGTTTATAAAAGCACAGTTTGTAATAGCTAAGTTTTGGAAACAGCTTGAATGCCCATCAACCAAGGAATGGATAAAAAAGTTGTGGAGTTTGTTTTATACAACAGAGTATTATTTGGCCATAAAGAAGGATAAACTTGAGACATTTCTAGGTAAATGGATGCACATTGAGACCATACTCTTAGGTGAAATAAATCTGACACCCATGTGTAAATATCACATTATCTCCCTGGTGTGAGAAACTGAAAGAGTAAATATGACCAAAATGTACAATAGACATTGTGAAATGGGAAGATATTATTCAAAAAGAAAGAGGAACAAGGGAAGGGGCAGGGGGAAAAGAATGAAAGGAAAAGAAAAAAATGACAAAAAAGAAACCAGCAGGTTGGGACTCACATCAAAACATTTGAAAATTAGAATATTATACCTGCATATGCTTAGCAAGACCACTGAGAAAAATCTACCAGAAATCAAACCTCTATTGGAAATAAGGCAAAAAGAAATAAACCTTCATGTGGGGTCCAGCCTAACAAAGAAGACACACATTTTTCATGGGTATAGAAAAAAGGCAAATAAAAAAAGTGCATTCTTCTTAGCTATAACTTTATATTTTTTAAAAAGTAGATACAATTCACTATAGGGCAAACTTGTTATTTAAATATTTTCACTTTCTTTGCAGGCTTCTCCTATTGTCTTTTCTAATTATCCCCTTCCGTTAGTAATCGAATCAAGTTTCACAGTTTTAGATATCATCTCTGATGATCACTCTTAAATCAATACCTGCACTTTGACCTTTCTCCTGAACTCCAGACTCCTGTATTTACTTGAACGCTTGGTCACCCCCGGCCATCTAATAGGCCTCTCAAATTCAACACATCCAAAGCAGAAGTACTGACTTTTCCCTAAGCCTACAGAGTCTTCCTCCAGCTCCACAAGGGGAGCCCTCTCCCTACCAGTGTGCACCAATGCCTTGGAATCCTCTTTCCTCCTCTAGTTTCCTCCCAGGACCTGCCACATTCAATTTAGTCTTGATGAAATTATCTCAACAGTGTACCCTGAAGCTACTCTGTCCTTTCTCCTGCCCTCATCCCAACACTATCATCTTCCATCTGCACCCCTGTACTTTTGGTGCCCTAAAACCTTCCTCCACAGAGCAGCCAGTGGGATCTAAAATACAAACCCTGTTAAATACTTGAACTCTCCTTTGATCATCGAGTCTACCTGAGCCTGAGCCCCATCCCTGCCTCTGTCACTGTGTTCTAGTGTGCAGCCTGAGGCTTTATCTCTCTTTGAAGTTATGTTGACTATGTGTTTGTTGCCTGTCTTTCTTCCCATCCTCCACAAGAGCATATGCACAAATAAGATCTTTAAGACTATGTAGGCATCTGTCTCATTTGCCATCATATTTCCAGAACTTAGAACAGTGTCTACGTCTAGTCAGCAACTGACACTTGTTGAATGTATGAATATAAACAAACTGGAGCTGGGAAGGCAGCTTGGGGTGAGCACATTTACCTAGCATGTGCAAAACCCTGGCTTCCATTCCCAGCTCTCTCTCCAACAAAAAAGAAAAAAAAAAACTGAATCAAGTAATTGGTATTACGTTTTGTTTAACAAAGCTAAAAAATATGCTACAAAATTTTGGGAAAATAAATTATTTCTAATCAAGAGATTAGCTGTGTGATTTTTTTTTTTGAGACTTGGTCTCTACATAGTTCAGGCTGACCCGGAATGTAGCTTAGATTGGCCTCAAAATTAAAGCAATCCTCTTTCCTCAGTCTCTGGAGTGCTGGGATTATGAGTGTGCGCTACCATGTCTGGCTGAGAGATTAGCTGTGGATGTCCAGCAAGAGTTTGCAAAGCAATTTGCATTTAAGCACGGTTTAGGGCATACACAGGCCAGCCAGTGTCTTTCTTTCCCAGCCCACTGCCTTCAGGCTGCTCTGCTCATTTTCTTCTAAATCCTCACATTAATAAAAGCGCTGCATGAAACATAGGACTCAGAGCTTCTGAAAGTAACTTTCCCTTCTCATTTCTGAATCCTCCTTCTTTTCCTAATCTATTACTACTTCTAAAACCTCTATGCATTTACCTTCTTGAAATTTTGATTCTTTAGGCAGAAATAAAGGCTAAAAGATTCGACAGAAAGAAGAAAAACTAAAGCTACCACTCTGCTAGGAGAGACAAGAGGTTAATTTTCTCTTTTTGTCTATTTTCCAACTGTCCTGATTTTAAAATCATATTTATTATGATAGAGTTGCCAATAAATATCATTTAATAAACATTACTTAATTTAAATAACAGAGGCTAAGAGTCCAAATAAACCCTTTACTATTAATTAATTACCCCTAGAAAAAATTAATTACTCCTTCAGAGGAGTAGGCAAGAAGGACCAGGTTGTTTTCAGTTTTTATTTTATTCAATTAAGTTTAATATGAAAATAAAAATATAAAAACCTTTCTTTCTAAAACTAAAATATTTTACTACAAAGACATGACGAATGAAATGAGAGACATGGCCGGGCGTGGTGGCGCACGCCTGTAATCCCAGCACTAGGGAGGCTGAGGAAGGAGGATCATTGCGGGTTTGAGCCTGTGCTACGAAGTGATCTCAAGGCCAGCCTGAACTGCGTAGCGAGACCCTGTCTCAGAAAGACAAAAAACAAACAAACAAACAAACAAACAAAAAAAGAAATGAGAGACATGAAAAAGTTCCTAGAGAAATTAGATGCATTTGTGCGCATTTTATTATTGTAAATGGGCTTAGTCAATATTTTGTGCACTGCTATGAATAAGCTTCCTCCAAGGACTCAGACCCAGAGTTGGAAGGAAGGATCCATGAAAAGTTATTCAGAGCTTTAAACTGTTTAGAGAGAGTCTAGTACCGCTGATTGAAAGTGCTGAGCTAGGGGTTTTCGCCTCTGTTGTCTGCTTGACCAGAAGCAGCTTATTTAAACCAGGTTCCATTGCGTGTGCAGTGCAGATAATAAAACAGCGTCCTCTTACTTCTGGTAAACATCCTATGAGATCCCCTTCATGAATGAATGACAAGTATAAGCCAAGGGAAAAGTATAAAATTAGAGCATTTAATGGGGATGTTACGGGCAGAAGTTGTCCAGGAGGAACGGACTGGCTGTCTTTCACTCCTCCAGCCTGGAGCCTTGTTCTGGAAAAACCCTAGAGAACAGCCCCCTCTATGGACAGTGCCCCGCACTGCCGCTAGCGTCGGCAGAGGAAGTTTTTCTTCTGCTACACTGCAAAAACTACATACCAAGATGGCAACTTGGGAACTACTAAAAGATATTAATTTATCAATAAGTATTTTTTGGTCATTGTGTTAAGATTGTGGTCTTTATGCCAGACAGTTTGGAGCTCTGGTTTCAATTAAAGCTCTGTTTTACAAAACTCTAAATTTCCTTTTTCTCATCTATAAAATTGAAATATATCTCATAGAATTGTGGTGAGGACTCATTAATTTATTCCATAAACCTCAAGTATTATTTTTAAGTACCAACTACAACCTAGTCACAGTTCTAGGTAGTCACCATGTTGAAAGAGACATAAATAAACAGTCCTATTGTTATGGAATTCATATTCTTCTAGAGGCAAAACAAAATAAATACATATGGAGCTTCAGAGTAGTGACAAGTACTTTGACAGAATTAACACAAATTGAAAGCGCTGGGGGTGGGTGTACCCGCTGAGTCAGGGTGGAGGAGGTGACATCTAAACTGCATACCTTTAAAAAGAAGTTGCATGTGCAGAGCTGTGTACACTCATAGAGAGAGCTCAGTGTATATCTGCTACTTAAAGATGAACTTATTTGCAGTAGGACGTTAGAATGACACTATGACAGGACTCTCATGCTTGTCACTGAGATATAGGAAAGCCATGGTGACATGAATACAGTTTCAAGAGCAAAGGCAGGCGGCAGGCACTTGAAACACCTTGGGGCCAAAAAACATCTTTGGGGAAGCTGATGTCATTGGAAAATTGTTTTTCCCTTTTTTTAAGCACTCTCCTCCAAAATGTACTCTGTTATAAGTGGATAGAAGGGATATATTGATGGAATATTTGGAGTGTGAGTATAAGGACCCCTAAAAGGCACTATTGCTCTGTCTTCAAAAGCCCACCGGGGCAGTTAATCCCTTCCAGAGGCTGTTAGTCTATTCTTTGGTTCATTACGTTTCAGTTCCAGTAGGAATCCCCAAGACTGAGGCAGAACTAAACTGCTCTAGGTACCAGACAGAAGCAAAGTCATACCACGTGGGCCTTTCTTCTCATCTCACCGCTGCTCTTCTAAGCATATGCAGAACATATATTTAAAGAACGTTCATCTGAACTGTGCTGTTATTGGCCTGTCTGGGTCCAGCCCAGGCTACAGCTGTACACAACCACAGGCCAAGCCAAGTCAAAATGCTGTCCCAGAAAATTATGGATATTAAAAAGCAGAGCCCAATGGTCCACAAAGAGTCACTTCTTTATTAAAGCCCAAGGTTCTTAAATTCTTTGACAGCAAATACTTTATCTTTACCAAAAAAACCCCCAAAAAAACCAAACCTTTTTGACCACTGGGGGATTCCCTTTTAAAAGATGAACTATTATTATTCATATGAAATCAACATTTTTGGTTCTAGTAAAAGAAAAAAATAGAGTATTTTTTAAATGCCTGTTATTGAGCTAAATAGAATACACTTGGTTTTCATATTCTTATTTAATTCACACAATGACCCAGTGAAGTAGGTACTGTTGGCCCCATTTTATAGATAAGGACATTGAGGCTTAGAAGTGTGAAACAATTCAACCAGGTCATACAGAGGTCAAACGACTTGCCTGGGTCTCACAATTAGCTTGGGCAAGGTTGTGACAAAATCCAGGTGTAGCTGCCTCCAAAGTCCATGTTCTCCCCGTGACACCAGGGAATCAGATAATATTTATCTATTCCTACTTATACTCACATCATCACTTTCGCCTCTTCAATGAAATCTTCCTCCGACATGGAGCCTTCACTGATGGCCTTGATAGCAACGCTGATGTGAGCTCGCCACTCGCCTAAGTGGACCACCCCAAACTGACCGCTTCCAATCTCCTTGACAAAACCCAACTCAGACGGGTTTATCTCCCACTTTTCTGGAACAGGGAAAATCCATGTTACAAGTATGAGGGGGGAAATGATAATACTTTAGAACTAGAAAGGATTTAAAAATCACCACACCTATCCTCTTATTTTATATGTAGATGAAAAACATACAAATCAGAAGAGGGGATCTACAAGCATTTTTAATACTCCTATTATGGCTTAATTAAATTTTAAAATACAAACTTTGCTTATTAGGAGAGGAGCGTACAGCAAATTAAGGATACCAAAACCCGTGATATGAAACACACTTCTGTGCCTTTCTAAACTAATCCCTCCAAAATTAGACTTGGGACTTAAAACTTGTATTTCTGTAGTCTGATTTTGTCCAGGTGGGAACTTGCAAGGCAGATGAAATTTGTGAAATTCCCTTTTCCTCTTTCATCCCTTCTACTGTTCTTCTCGCTCCATCTCTAAAGACCTTTTCTATCTTGTGTATCTTTTCCTTCGGGGAAAATCTAATCAATCTATCCAGCAAATATGTCCAGTGTCTGGACTCTAACTCACATACATATGAGTATGTTTGAAGTACAATCTTCAAAGAAGTATTACTGAATTTTTCATTCTAGAACAGCAAAGCAGGAAAAAAATTGTATTAAAAATGACTCGTTTGAACCCTATCATCAAATCTTTTTTATCTGCTCCCTGTTCACAGCAACACTGCCATCTGCTGGAGGTTTAGAACAAAGCAGTTAAAACTGTAACCTTGCACAACTTTGCAAGGTATTCCTTCTCCCAAGAGTGTTTTAAAAGCAATATGGGAGAATTCACATATTACCTTGGTGCTGGTGTAGATTTTTCAATAGAATACAACCATAAAAGAAAATATTAATAAGTCACAGTTCATAATTTCATCTGTTCTTTAAAACATTCCACTCAATGAAAAGATAAGCCAGAAGCTGGGAAAGATATTTCTAAAACATAACCAACAAAGAATTCTTATCTAAAATACAAATAGAGCTGTCAGAAAATACATATAGTCCTATATTAAGGGCAAAAAATGTTAAATACTCAGTCATAAAGAGAATATTTAAATGGCCACTACACTTATGAAAACTGGATCAAAATACTTAGTCATTAAGGAAATGCAAATTTAAACCATGAGATACTACTGTGCATTTACAAGATTGGCTAAAATTTTTAAATGACAACACAAGTTATAGGAAATAATAATTTTAAAATTTCAATTGACTTATGCATATGTCCTCCTGCGTTTCTTGAATTTGTTTCTTTTTTTAAAATTAGTCCATGTTTGCAGTGCACAGTGACCGCGTTCATCATGAGGCGTTTCACACGCACCACACAGCCTCATTCTTTCATACCCCTCCCCCCTCCCTGTTATTCTCCTAAAATTGCTACAATGTTACTAAAACTTGAAAAGTAACTACTATGCAAATGTCCTAATCTGATTAATAAGATTTATTTTTAAAAACTGAACTAAAATTATTAACAAATGTAATTTCTATCTTTCACATAAAAGAAAATATGTGATAAAATAATAAGAATAACAAATGCTGGTGATGCTGTGAGGAAAAAGGAACCCTTTTACATTGTTGGTCATAGTGTAAACCAGTATGACTGCTATGGAAATCAGTATGGGGATTCAATCAAAAATTTAAAGTAGAAATTTCATCTGACCTAGCTATTCTCCTTCTAAGCATCTTCCTGAAAGAGTGAAAGACATCATATTGTAATGATACATGCATACTCATGTTTATAGCAGCACAATTCATAATAGTTAAATCACAGAAACAGCCTATATCTCCATAAACACATGAGTGGATAAAGAAAATACATTTGTACACAAAGGAGTACATTTTTCCATAAAGAGGGATAAACTTCAGTATCTGAAGGAAAATAGATGCACCTTGAACTTGTCATGTTAAGTGAAATAAATCAGACACAAAAAGCTTAAAAATCATATGGTTTCTCTTATATGAGAAGCCCAAAGTATAGATAATCAAAGAATAAAATAAAAGATAGACAATTGAAAATAGGGAGTTAGGTCTTTGGTAAATGGTAAGGATTAAAGGGAAGGAGATGTAAAAATAAACAAGATGTATCATGTATATACATCAACTTCCCACAGTGAATATATTTATGATTTACTGCAAATGTGTGCTAATAAAAAATATCTTCCCTCTCTCACACAGGAGAGAAGGGGAAGGGAAGGAAGGAGAAGGGGACTTAAAAAGAATCAAGATGTGTTATGTGTATGTCCCAACTTCCCATTATGAAAATAATCATTATGCACTGCAACATGCACTAACAAAAATTTTAAAGATAAACTACAACTGACAAGTTTTTAAAAATGAGAATACCGAATACTGGAAAGGGTAGAAGTATGGAGCAATTGGAATTCTGATACACTGTAGATGGGAGGTAATGTAGCATAAGCTCCTTAGAAACCTAACCGTTATCTATTACACCTGAGCATGTGCAGGCCCAATGACCCAGCAAGTCTAAAAGGGTACTCTAAAACACATTTTCAACATACATTAAAGCAAACTCTGCACCCTAGTTTCACCTACAGACAGAGAAATGTTCATAACAATAACATTTGTAAAAGCTAAAAAGCCAGAACAATCCAAATGGCCATTTAAGGAAGCATGAGTAAATCAGTGTAGGAAAACCTTGCAATGTAGCATGACAGCACAACAAAAATGAGCCAACCACACGAAACACCAGGGTGAAATCACAAATGCAATGAGGACCAGAAAAAGGCAGACAGTGTCTGGCTACATTTATATAAATTCATGAAAAATAGGCAAAGTAAATCAAGCTATAGACTTGTAAACTGTGCATTGTTCTATGTATTTTGGAGTTGAGAAGTATATTTTTAAGAAATTAAAGAGGACCACATTTCACTTAAATAAATTGCTAATGGCAGAACAATTTATTATTATATAGTATCAATGACACAAGAGGAATAATCAAGGCGCCTATAACACCCTGAAATCACCCTTCCATCCCATTTAACCTAATGAGACTCTGAATTCCTGTTACTTTTTACCCAGTATAGTTGTGCCATCATTTTTAAGTATAATCTGAGTCCCACTAGTGAAAGAAACTTAAGGGAACAACATATCACCAAATTAAAACAGAATCCTTAGCTCTTATCTGTTCTCACGGATTTGCAAATATCACATTAGAAGTGGCTCAAGTCTGTCTTAGCACAAATTTTATTTGAAAAAAATGGGTAGAGACACTTTCTGCAGCACTTTTTGGTAGGTTCTTCTGGTAAATGGTCACTTCCCAACAATAGGGTAATCAGAGAACAATAACTCAAATATTCAAGTAAAAAGGACTGTAGTTTGTTTAAAAGGTGAAGATTAAGCCTGTTAATAATAGATAATGAAATCTGAAGTAAAACGAAAAAATTTCTTTCCAAAGTTTAATTGCCCTTATAAGATGCATTACATAAACATCTTAGGCAGGGGATTTAAACTTTGAAATGTATCTAGATAGACACTTCAGAAGAGCTGGGAATTTAAAGAATCTGTGGAATGGATTTTTCACTAGATTTGATGTCTTAGTAGAGCATATGTGCATACTTTACCATAGCTAAAGCCAGCTGTGGCTGGTAAACAACTGCCCATCAGCCCAACCGGGTAGCGAAGACGAGTCAGAAGACCTAAGGAGAAAGGGAAATCAGCATTTCAAGGCTCATTACTAACATAGAAGAAAGAACCAAATATACCAGGAGATAGTACCATTGTTTAAATAATGAGGCATGAGAATTTACGCTGGAGGTTAATCTGCGTGCTTATTTTTCCACTTGAAAAATATTTTTATAAAACAATATATGCGCCTCATACACATTTCAAAGACCCTAAGAAAGCATAAAGATAACAAAACCATTCTCATCTAATACATTTTACAGGGTAAACGTTCTGTTATAAGATTTTTAAACTAAACATGTAATTTATATATACCAATGCCTTAAATTATTTCCAAGATTTCACTATGATGAATTATGCTGTATGTCCTTGAAGATACATTGAGATATACCTCTCAAGTGATCATCTTATAAAATGAGATTTCCCTTTCATGCAGTATACAGGAAAGATATATTAATTTATTTGCCCATGAAATTGATCACCCTCTGAGAGTACTTTTTCTTCAGTAGCATGATAGGGTAAATAAGACTGCATAAGATTAGGTCAATGTGTGGAATTCCAGACAATCGATTTCAATTTAGTTCAATAAGCAGTCACTGTTTATTTTGAGCCCATGTTCACTGAGAGCCTGGGTAGGAGCCCTGTCCTAGCTAGATGTCAAGAGAGTGGTGGAAGAGCAATGGTCCCTGCTCCTGTAGATCTCCTGCTCCAGTCAGAAACAGGATAAACAAATGTATGCATAAGAGAGAAAAGGTAGATGACTATGAGTGCAAAGCCTAAAATACAGGGCTCAGAGAAGGTCTGTCTGACAATATGACAGCTAGGATGATATTTATTGTCAAGAAGCCATTTCACAAAGAGCTTTCCTGGCCAGTGGAACAGCTCATGCAGAGGCCAGGAGACAGAAACAAGCTTGGCCAGTGTTAAGAACAGAATGACATAGGCATTGAGTGACTGTTACAGCACTCTAGAGTTCTGAGTAGACTGCAAAAAGTCCTGTAGATGCAAATTTAAGTAAGAGGAGGACTCTGCCCAAGGGAAGCTCTAACTCCATGAGGAGTCCCTGGAAGGGGTGGTCATTCCAGTGTAAAAGCAAGTAAGGAGGCCCGTGTGGAGATACACACAAGAAAGTGCTCTGAGCACACTGCCAGACTCGAAGTCTTCTGGGAGGAAATGACACCTGACGTGTGGAATTAACACAAGGAGAAACACGGAAGGAGCTGGTAGGCAGAGGAAACAGCATGAGGTGACACTGAGAGCTATTAAGTGTGACAATGGCTACGTGGACAAAAATCAGCAAACAGGAAGAAAGAAGAAATGATACTTGAGAAATAGGTCATGTTCTGGTTATGATGGTCCTCATAAGCCACCTGAGGGCACATTACATTTCCCTGCAGGTAAGAGAGAGCCATCGAAGTTCCCAACTGAGGAAGTGATGCATTCAAACTTACATTTTTGATAAATCACTTCGGAAGTTGCACGAAAGAGGATTGAGGAGAAACAAACATTAGAGAAAATGAGTGCAGTATGAGGCTACTGCAGTTATCCACATGGGTAAAGATTACATAGCACTAACAGGCAGGGATCCATAAAAGATGCATTTAGGATATGAGATTGATTGCACTTGACAATTAATAATAAATTAAGTGTTAAAGAGATTAGAAACATCTACTTAACTTTTATGCTGCTAGCCTCTTCGGTGGGTTGGTGGTACTATCACTTAAGAGTATAGAACTGGAAGAAGAGTAGCTTTACAGGGGAGTGCTGTGGAAGATGAACCATTCCGCAGCATCACTGAAGTTCAACCCCCAGTGATTCCCAGTGTCTGTGTTCACCTGGTTGAATTATGGAGAAAGAGAAGCCAAGGGTAAGAAGAGCAGTAATCAAGGAGAACCCCTACCGAATATCAATGTTTCAGAGAAGAACAGAAGGACCAACTGGGAAGACAAATAAGGAATTATCTGAGTCAGAGTAAATAAGAAAGAGAGATGTTAAAACATCTACAAAGGAGGGAAATTCATGGAATGGCACCGCCAAACATATGAGCCCAGAAAAGCTGCACTGTCCATGCCCAGACAGGGGCCACTGGGAGAACATGGAACCATGCAGGTGGAAGCCACATTGCAGATTCTTAAGAAGCAAATGGAAAATGAGGAATTGTGGACACATTTTTCCAAACGTGTGACTTAAAAGAACATGTCTAAACAGAGAAAGTCTCAAGAGAACGTCTTGGTTGTTTTTAAATAGGAAAGTCTTAAGTGTGTGTACTGGCAGATGGGCTGAAGGAGAAGTTCCGAAGAAATGAAAGACCTACAGGAGAGTAAAAGATTCTGGATGACAAATGGTCCCAGTGGGAGAGCAGGGATGAAAGTCAATACAAAGATGTGGCCTCACCACTATGGGAGGGCATGGCGGTGAGAGCAATGGTAGTCCAAGGAGAACCTTGTCTTGTTCCCGATTTTAAAGTAAAACCTTTCAGTTTTTGTCCATTGAGAATGATGTTAGCTGTTGGATTGTCATAGATGGCTTTGATCAGGTTAAGGTAGAGGCCCTCTATTCCTATTTTCTGTAGAGTTTTTATCATAAATGCATGTTGGACCTTGTCAAAAGCTTTTTCAGCATCTATTGAGATGATCATGTGGTTTTTGTCTTTGGCTCCGTTGATATGGCTTATAACATTTATAGATTTGCAAATATTGAACCAACCCTGCATTCCTGGAACGAATCCAACTTGGTCGAGATGTATGATTTTCTTGATAATTTGCTGCATTCTATTTGCTAGTATCTTATTGAGTATCTTTGCATCTATATTCATTAGGGAGATTGGTCCATAGTTCTCTTTCTTGGTTGGGTCTTTCTCTGGTTTTGGTATCAGTATAATGTTTGCCTCCAGAAATGAGTTGGGGAGAATTGCTTCCTTTTCAATTCCATTGAAGAGTTTGAGGTGTTGGTTTTAAATCTTCTCTGATTTTTCTGTAAAATTCTGCTGTGAATCCATCCGGCCTGGGCTTTTCTTTGTCGGTAGATTTTTAATCACACTTTCAGTCTCATTAATTGATATTGGGCTGTTCAGGAATTTGATATCTTCTTGACTCAACCTTCCCTGGATTTATTTCTGATATTGAGAACCAGTATAATGGAAAAGTGGCTGCTTTCCAAAAGGGATTTTTTTGCTGTTGTTGCCATAACTTTTCATGAGTGAAATTTTTTAAAAGCACTGCCTGACAAGAAGGCAAAGAGATGAAGACAAGGATTAAATATTCCTCTGTCATATTTAGGCCAGAGTGTAGCTATGAAAGTTGGGGCTTTGTGTAACTTTTTCTGTTCTTCAAACAAGAAAGAACAAAAGATGAGAAACGTAACGGAATTTTCTATGCAATTGTCTAAAATAGAGAACAGGCTTGTAAGGGACAAGAGAAGAAGACATCATTATTTAGTGTATTGGAAATCCTACTACATTTAGCCCTATATAAATTTCCACAGCAAATGCATAATGACTAAATGCCTATTGCTTCATTGTCATCTATTGTTTTTCTAACCTAGTAGAAATGTAAATAAATCAACTTACCTCTTGCCTTTTGACTAGAAAAACAGAGAGAAAAAACTATCCAGAAAACAGAGTGTATTTCAAATTCATAAGCTGTTTCTACTGAGAGATTTGTTTCTATTGAGCATCTGACATCATAATGAATTGCCTGTCAGGACCTGGCTTCCCACGCTTCCCCACCTGACACTCTTCACTTACCAGCTGCATTGTGTTGGTGATACCAGATCAACTCAGGGACTGTTGGAAAGAGGTGCCTTTCAGCCACATACCACTGTCCTGAGTCATTCTTTTTAATCTGATAATGTTTTATTGTAGCCTCTGTACTTCTATAATCAATGAGACACAAATTAGTAAGCAAGCAAAATATCACTATAGAACTAAGCCAGTTCGTGGGGCAACAAGACTCTAGTTCTCAAATTCTCATCTTAGCAACACTGCACAGTGAAGAGAGGATTGACTGATGCAATAGGTGCCTGATTATTCTAGAAAAATTCCTCAATTATCTTATTGGATACACAGACCAAATATAACTTCAGCTCACATTGTCCAGGAGACAAGTTCATTGTCCAGAAAAGGTGGAGCTCATCATGGAGTATTTATGTATCAAATATCAGGTTCTGGTTAAATAAATGAACAAGTGCACTAGGAGGAACTGGAAATACGGGACAAAGAAGGCAGGGAATCCAACATAGGCACATCAATAAGCAGATTACTGCCATGGGCACCTGGGGCTCTGTCCTAGGAATCTGTGAGGGACTGGGGAACGCACTTCAGAGCTATCCACTGAAATGCAAGAACAGAGGTGCTTACCCACTCACCTCGTTTCCCACTGCTGGACTGTTACTACTGTAATGTTTTCTCTCCAGCACTGCCAGTGTGACCACAGAGCCCACAGGTTCCCACAGCAGGAGCCCATCCTCAGGCAGAAAGATGCCCTCTGCCGATCAACCCCAGAGTAGACCAAAGGGCAAGAAGGACACACTAACTGTGTACCATAACTGATTTAGCCCCTCACTTAATGCTTGAAAAAAAAAGGAAGACAATAGAGGTTTGGGAATATGTCCAATATCACACAGAGCATGTTATGGATACAATATGAATCAGCTAATTGTCCTGACTTCCAGGCCAGCAATATTCTCCTCTCCTAAGCTCTCACTTACATTGTCTATGTGACAGTACCTCCATAAAAATTGTCCCAGCAAACTCAGTCACAATTACTTACCTTCTGGCTCTTATAAATACAGAAATTGTGTAGGATCCCAAATGCCTTGAATCTCTGACAATAAATGCACCTTCTTTAGCCTATAAAACAATTTATTCATTGTATAAGTCTTAGGCAAACCTGCATCTTGGTAACAAAACCAAAGCTATACTAACTTGCTGTAAGTAAGTGACTCACCTTAAAATAAATGACATACAATATTCTTACTATAAAGAATGAGATTATTGTTATGTATTGTTGCATATATGGTTTATATGTACAGTATTAATAATGGGATACATACATGTCAGTATAATATACAAGCATAAAATTGTGTATGTAGTGGTCTCCCCTTCTAAAGCTTCAAAGTAAAAAAACTACAAATAATATTTCCTGACCACAAACCAATAAAAGTAGTAATTCACAATGAACCCCAAAATAAAATGCCCTCTAATAAAACACCTGTAGATTTTAAATTCTATTTTAAATAACTCAAGGAAATAAAAAAAAATCGAGAAAATAATAAGGAATCATTACATATCAGAGCTTCTGCTATACATTACAAGCAGTACTCAGAAATAAATTCATAACCTCATTATTTGTATCAATAAACAAAATAAAATAAGTATATCTAACTCAATAGGTTAAGATAAGATTTATAAAATAAGCCTAAGTAGAAGGAAACTAATGCAATCAAACTACAAGATAATAACTTACAAAAACAAAAATATGATAAATCTAGTAATTAAGTTCAAAATCTGGTTGTTTAGGGGAAAGTAAGAAGCAGCTAACTTAAACAATAACAAGTGGGGAGACTATCAAAAACAATAAACAAGGCAATAATAATGAAGGATCAAAAAAATTAAGTTTAATTGACTCTCTATAATTTGAAAACTTGAATTAAATGAATAAGTACTTGGGCCTCAGTGGCCACTCCCCATATCCCTAGAATCCCTGTGGGAGCTGGGCTGAACCCCAGACATCTTCAGGAACCCCAGGGAGATACCCCTGCTCCTGCCCCACTAGTGTGCAAGGCAAGCAGAACCCCAGACACCTTCTGTGGCCTCAATGGCCACTCTAAGCACCATCTACACCCCTGTGGGTGCCAAGCTGAAACTTGAACAGAGTCAGCAGCCTGGAGGAATCCATCCTCATCCCTCCTCTACCAGCATGGAAATGGGGCTGGCCCTGGGCAACATCTGAAGCCTCAGTGACCATGACCTACACCTCCCCAGCCTTGTGGAAGTGGACTGAACCTCAGACACCTTCAGATATTCCACTGAGCCACCCATGCCCCTCCCCCACCTGCTTGGGAGCCAACTGAATGCAAGAAAGTTTCTGGAGCATCTGCAACCCCACCTTGCCCTAACACACCAGCATAGGAGCCACACTGAACACTGAGGACCTTTGGATCCTTGCCCCACCACTCCCACACCATCATAGGAGTGAGGCTGCACTCCAGGAAACCTCTGGATCTTCAAAAATGA